GTTTGGAGGGAGAGTCCCCTTCCCTATAGGAAGCCACGACCACGTGTGTGAGCAGGGAAAATGGCCGCGGACCCTGTTCGTCACCCGATGCGGAGTTCGCAAAGGGAAGCAAAATTTTGCGAACGGTGCTGTTCGTGACCCGAATTGGTCGTGAACAGAAGCGTTCGTGACCCGAGGTACCACTGTATTATTGGTCGTGAACAGAAGCGTTCGTGACCCGAGGTACCACTGTATTATTGGTCGTGAACAGAAGCGTTCGTGACCCGAGGTACCACTGTATTATCCAAACATCTTTAGTAAACCTCAAATATTATCAATTTATACCATTTGTATTTCATAGATATTTCAAATTGCTTTTAATTAAGATTTTTAGTAAAACTTTACAAATACTGATATCTGCTGTAGGAATATTTTGAAGGAATATCTTGAAAAAAGGTGATGCAAGAAACACGTAACCAACCCAAATGACTTGTAGTAAGGACATTCCTATACAGAATGTCTTCTTACCTGGAGTATGCACATGCCAAAAGTATTCCCAAGAATTTTGTGTGTCTCATTGTAGTAACAATACCGAATGTTTGTGGCTGCTATGAACAACTCGAAGGGGTCATCTTGCTTCAGATCTAACATTCCAGTTTTAATTTTCTTCTGCAACTGTCTCATTCTTTTTTTACGGTGGCTGAAGGTGAGAAAAGACATTAAAGCAAAAGTCCTCAGAATGATTAGATTTAAAACGCGTGTTTACTTAGAAGTAAGTGCCACTGTGTAAGATATGGTTTACTCAAATGAAAGATGCAGAAAGTTGCAGCACTAAGGATTTACAGGTAAATCAGGTCTAAAATCTTCTCAACCTAGTTTTAACCTCATTATGTATGACTGATAACAATGTTACTGTGATTCAGGACGAAGGCAGTAGAAACAAGCACTTAAAAGAGCATTTAAGAAAAAAAGGAAGACGCGGCAGGATATGGGTTCTGATTAGGGGTTACAAGCATAACAGAGCCAAGCAGGCCATATTACCCAACGTGCATATTAGGCACTCTGCTTAGGTCCTACAAAAACTAAAGAGACAATGAAAATTAGAATTAAAAATATATGAGAAAAAAGATCTTGAATTAATACATACTGCAAGGACGTGAAATTGTTTTTAACCACAAAACCAGCAATAATATCATCAAATTATGTTTTATGTACGATCTCATTCTCCATAGAAGGAAAAGAAGGCAAACCACCTATGAAGGCTTATAACATAATGTTAACATTGGGTCATTACATTTGACA